TTCTTCTCATTATTATTATTTAACTTCCATCCTTTCGTTTTAAACTCAAATGTCATAATTTTCAAGCAATTAATTTATCTTACGCATGACTTTTGCGCTAATGATAGCAGTCGATATCAATGAAAAGCACCATCATCGGTTGCTTAATTATTTTTCTGAAGAAAGCGCAAAATGTGAAACTACACCGAGACAATTTTTTAGCAGTTTGCCAAGAATGGAAACAAATGAAAAATGCAGTCTCCGAGGAATGATGACTGTTTATGACACAGTTTGAGAGACCCCCCCTTTTTAAGAAATAAAACAACAGGAAACAGCTACAAAATATAATCTCTCTGAGACACAACAAACCAAAATATTTGCGGAGAAGGTAATAATCATCATCTGGTGAGAGAAGAAGCAGCTTTCTAACTTAATTATTACTATCCCGCCACTTTTCGCTCTTTAAAAGTTTGTTTCCCGCCGAGAAACATCTTCATCCTGTAATGTCTGCTTTTCCTCTAAGCGAAATGTTAATTTATTTTTCTGTCTTACCAAACATTTCGGGGCCAAGAAGATATAACCGTGCTGCTCGAGCAGATGTTTTTGTAATTAAAAGTTTTCGCGACGGTTCTATTTACGTCGGTTAAAGGGCGAGCGACGAAGAAAATTTTGAAGAGTATTCCAAAATTATTGCATTCATTTGATTTTGATAGCACATGTGTGTACTCATAGACATGTTAAGGGGGCTCCAACACCTTAAACCCCTTATGATCTTCGAATACGTGACTGTTGCAAGAAATGGGATAACTTATTTATTTTAAAAGCAATTACTTCCAACTTTTTACAGCTGACTACATAATATAGCTGCTTTCTGAAATCGTAATCAGAAAGTTTGTGTTGCCACAAATATTTTTATAATTTAATCCGCTTTGTGACGAAAACTGTCGTCATGTTTTCACCTTGCGCGCACAGTTTAAAATTATCTGTTGCATTATTTAATTCTATAGTTTATATATAGCTTTTATAACATTTGGAAACTACTGTAAACCAAAAAACCTGAGGATTTGATGTTAAATTCTTATTTTATTTGGAGTTGAGTTTATAAAATGTATTTTATTAAAAAAATCTGTAATGTTTTCGTGCGTAAAATTTTTTAATATTAAAATATTCATCAGATTTTTGATTCAGTTAGAAAATAGTGCCCATATAAAGAATTCCATCCGATTTCAAGTATGTACCATTAACCATTTTTAAAATATCATGCGCGCAAGGTGGAAAAATGACGAAAACGTTTGTGAGAAAGCTGATTAAATTACAAAACTATTTGTGGCAACACAAACTTTGTGGTTGCTAGTTTCCAAAGCAGCTATATTATGTAGTCAGCTGTTAAAGGTTGGATGTAATTACGTTTCAAATAAATAAATATCTCAATTCTTGCAACAGTCACATAATTCGAAGCTCATAAGGGGTTTAAGGTCTTATTAGCCCCCTTAAACATGGATGTTTTCCGTAAGAAAGCGCAGGATAGCATTTTGCAGTGTTATCCGAAATAAAGTGTTAGCAAATAGAAAGACAAACAGCTAGTCACTTAAAAATGTAATTTCATTTTTATGTATTTATTTTGGAACAATCACTTGTAACGAAACACCGGATATAACGAACGAATTCTCTTGGTTCCATTCGTTATTTCATACGGCTAAAGCGAACTGTCGAATGTATAAAAACCGATATAATGAACATTGTGAATATCGTGTAACGAAACCTTCTTCGTATTTTTTGGTGGTTGAAACTTGCAGAAATTTTGCAAGTTTTAACGAAACAATTGCTGACTTTTAAAATCATCTACGTTTAGGATCCTCATTTTACTCGGAAGCAGAAACACTTTTACGTTTCTTTTCTCCCCCCCCCCCAAGTTCAAATCTACTTTTCTCTCTCTGGTCTATACAAATTCTATGCAAAACAGGTGTGATTTCCAATCAATGAGAATGAGAACTCAGTAAGCAAATCTTAGGACATCCTATGGCATTCTTTGTATTTGATGAACAAGGTGTGACACAAAGAAAAAGACTGGTTCAATAGATCATTGTAATTATAGAATCAGTTTCCCGTGACATTATCACTTTCAAATCAGTCTGTTCAGCATTTACACACTTCTGCATTCGGTGCTGCCATTGCTGGTAACAGTTCTGGAACGAAGGTTTTTGGAAGGACTTTCAGGAGATTCTCCGTTTTTGCCTGAACCTCTCCGTCTGAGGTAAAATGGGTTCCCTTTAAGTAAGATTTAACTTTAGACAATAAAAAATAGTCGCATGGAGCCAAATCAGGTGAATATGGAGGATTCCCCATCACAGTAATGTTTTTCTTGTCAGAAACTGCTTGGCAGATAGGGCCGTGTGAGCGGGGGGCATTGTCCTGGTACAACAGCCTTCCGTCACTCCACAACTATGACCTTTTTCTTCTAAATATTTTCGTGAAATCTTTTTAGTACTCCAATGTGGTAGTGTTGATTAACAGTGTGAACACTGGAAACCCATTCAATCATGATGGCGGGCTGGGTGCCCAAGGGGGAGACCAGCACGTTCATCATCTTCCACACTGTGCTTTCTCCCTGAAAACCGCTTATGCTATTCAAACACACGTGCAAGTTTCATCTCCATAAGCCTTGGTTAACATTTGACGTTTCCTCCGTGGATGATTTCTTAAGTTTTACAATAAACTTGATGTTGATTCGTTATTCGGTGTTTACATTAGACATTTTTTCGGCAGAATGCAGTTGCAAGTAGTACTACCCACTGACGGGGTCGGGTAAGCAGAAACTGGCCTACAGATTTAAATTCGAATCTCGCAACACGAACCCGACTTAAAATGAAATCGCCGAATGCAGCGAACAAACTTTCCAGTTCCGTCCTACACCTTTTAATGTAATTTTAGGCCCACCAGCGGCCGAGCGGTAAAGTCGCTGAACACTGGTAGTTCGGTCCGAGGTTCGAATCCCCGCGAACGGGCTGGCTGTATGGACGTTTTCGTGGTTTTCCCCGTGTGTAACATGTATACGAGCCAGTTTTCCTTAGTAAGTCATCCGCGAAGGCATCCCTCCTCTTAGGCAGATAGGCCTAGTGTGCTTTGCTATAATTAAGGAAACATAAACCTTTTTCCATACAGAAGTAGCTTTCAATAAAAGGATTCAGTCACCCACTGTAATCGCTATGTATTATTTTTAAAGAAGTAAATGGCAACACTTAAGCTATGCTGCTGTGTTGTGGGTTCGAAACCATGATTGACTGAAGAATGAGCGAGCGTAGTGTTCATTGTTATTTGTACGGGAGATTAGAATGATAAAAAATATTTATAATTAAAACTGAACTATGGAGTTTGTAAACAAATTATATTTTATTTACAAACGATCAGCCGGAAGGGATATATCGGAAGTTTTGTAAACGCGAAGAGTATCATAATTCGACAGAAATATCCATTTTGATCCTTTCCTGTATAGGTTAGTTCTCTCGCCTTTTCCTAGCATGCCTTCGTGGTGTAATGACCAGCACACTCGGCACGTATTCGAGAGGTCCGAGTCCCGGTGAGGGCATTGCTGGTTTTTCGCATCTCTTCTCTTCGAAATAACGTAATGTTTCTACACGCGAATTCATTTTAACTATTTTTTGGCGTGGCGTCTGTGCATACGGACAGAATAAAAAACTCTATTACGAAACGGGTTGTAAAATGGATTTAAGATGGATCTTTTCGTCACGTCAGACGTATGTACGTATCTTGCGTTAAACAAACCGTACAGCCGTAGAGCGGTAAAATTTTATGTATGGGACTGCTATACCATCTGGCCGTGCGCCTCCCTTCTGTATTGCAGTCGGCAGTACTGAAGGTATGTACACATATCTATCTATCTATCTATCTCTATATATAGACCCACCCCTTTTACCCAGCCTTTATTTTCGTAATGTCGGTCTTCGACAGACATTATTTCCAGTTATAAATGTCAAATATTCATGTTTTGGCAATGCCAAATTAAAATATATATATATGTGATGTACTAGCTTTTGTGAGGAATAAATAGATTGTTGAAGAATCATAAATGTAATCGTAGCTTAAATTATCAGACGATAAGTTTAAAAACAGGATCCGTTTATTATTGGTCAGGAGAAATAGCAGTTACAAAATCAGATATCCGGAGTAACTAAAAAAGAACTACTAATAACGTTTTTTTATGATGTTTACTGCATCGTGACATTTAAGAAAAAGCCTTCGATATTCCTTTACGAGTCCTTTTATAGCCTCTGGAAAGGTGGAGCTTCAAAGAAATGACGTCAGCCAATCCAGTTCGCTTTAAATATTTCCAGAATATTCTATAACTGTACGTGTAGAAAAGGCGATCGAGCGGATCCAAAACAACTTGACTACGGGGCTGTGGATTTAATTCCACGTACTTTCAAATAAGAGAACGTCGCCATTAAAAATGAAAAGAACATACAGTTAGAATTTTAAGTGTATTCTTGACTACGGAATTTTATTATTACAAATACATTCTCCAAATAACGAAATCTAACGTTCAATGGGGTCTCCTGGTTCTTATACGTATATTTAGGAAAGCCAATATATAAGTACAGGAAGCCTTAATGCAAGTAGTTCCTATACTTATATTAAGGAATACTTATATTTAAGATACTCGTTAATAAAAAATAGAAACACCAAAAGTTTGACTGGGATATTAAATTTCAAAATTGACTGGGATATTAAATTTCAAAATTTGCAATTTTTGAGTTTCAACTTGCCTCGATTAATCGATTGAAACGAAGTGCAACTAAAAAACGTGTGTAAGTTAATATGTCGTACAAAATGCGTACGTAAAACATGCAGTGTCCACATCAGATTTTTTATTTCGCGATGAAAAGATACTTTGTCTGTGATTGTATCTGCTATGTCCTAAAAAGCTTATTAAGTGAGTCATAACTCCCTAAATGAATACTCATGACATGGTTGAGTGACATTTTGTATATTTCTTTCCCTAGGGCTTTGGACATTGAAGAAGACCCGCAAATTATGGACAACCTTGGCATGCTGTATTTTGCTTCCGAGAGATATGAAGAAGCGAGGAAAATGTACCAGCATCTTCTGCTACACTATCCAGAACGTAACGACACCAAACTCCATTACGTAAGTTGCAACTAATGATTGATTGAATCTCGATGTCATTTTTTTTCTACCCTTAGCATGGATGATGTTCTCTTCTTCAACGTCACCTTTAATTTCGCAACCGTATGTCGCGCTTACAAACAAAGTTGTCAAGTTGCATGTTTTGGCAAAGCTAAATTTAAGAATCTTAAATGAAATTAACTTCCCAGGGTTTACGAAATCGAATTTTTGACGCTTTTCTCCGGTCATTGCACTTCAATTATTTTCCCTCACTTTTGGTTTTGTGCATTTTAATAGTCCGAAAATCGAAAGGAGAAAATCAAGCGAATATTTTTAAATTTTCAGAACCCATTTCGGCCTATTGAACTGGTAGTTTTTGATTAGAAATTTTAATTTTAATAGTAAAAATTGTTTTTTTTTAAACTTTTTTAGCTGTTGAATTAAATTAGTAAGTTCGAGGAAATAAGTTTAAATGAAATGCGGCGAAAAATGTGTATAATTTAACGTGTGGCGTCCACATCGGTTGTTTTTAAGTTTAAAAATGTGAAAGCAGGAATCTTTCATCATTTAAAACATTTTTGTAACTGGAAGTTTATATTTACAATGAACGCTATTCGAAATAAATGCCAGATAAGGACTTACGTGAACGTGGTTTATTGCTGCGTATACTGCCATAAATATTGAGTTTTATGGGTACTTACGTATTATCGCAACCAGGTTGGCGCGATTTGTAAGTTTCAGTAAAAAAGTATGAATAGAAAGAAAATGTACATTTATTAATTACAGATAATTTTTAATACAGTTTTTTTATATTATTTTGTTTTAAAATATAAAATAGCAATTAAACCCTTCCGGTTTCGAATTTGAATAAGTTGCAGAATTATTTTTTCGGCGGAAATCTTTTGGCTATTGCTTTTAGCACTGATTGAAAACCGTCTTCGCCATTAACAGCTTGAGCTCGGCGCCATATAAATTCGATAAGGTATGAGTGAAGATGCTGACGGGCTGTTCCTCTCTGTTTTTTGTTGCGCCATTTGGCTGAGCCCCACATGCGCTCTACATGTTGTGTGTGAACGCCCGTGTTGGGATTCACAAAGTTATATTTGTGATTAACAGTTCCATGCAGAAATCCAGCATTTTCGAACTCACTTCTATTGTATCCTTTGCAGCAATCCGAATAAATGATGCTTCCTTCATCTTTTCGCAAATTTTTTCCATGAGGGTAACGGCGCTTCTGTTAGGTACAGTAACCAAAAAAAGTCTCTTTCTTTTCTCGGCAAATTCCGCCGAAAACCCATTGTTGTGGTAGTACACGCCCCATAACACGTAGGGTTGCCGTAAGTAGGGTCGCCAAATTTGGCGATTTATGCGAATTTTGGCCTGGTTGCGTTAATACGTAAGTACCGTTTTATGTTACATCATCATGTGTCATTCCTTTTCTCTTGAAAGAAAACACCACGTATTTTTTAGTGGTATTATTACATGGCATGTCTGTACTTCTTATCAGAATTGCGTTACAATTCTTTTTTTTTTTTTTCTTTTGGATAAAAAAATCGATAAATGAAATGTATGTAGAGTTCTTTTCATTTATTTTGTGATTGCCAACCAGCAAACGGCCGGCTTCTGGCTGCAAAAAGCCATTGTATAGGTCGATGAAATTTGTATCATCGTGTAAATACTTACCTTACCCTCCATAGTAAAAAATATTTTAACCTATAATTATTGCACAATTTTGATTCAAATATGACATATGCGGCCAGAATTTAAATTAAGCTGCAGCATCTTGGATTGCGATTGAAATTGTATTTTTATCTGAACCGCTGAATGTTTTAATTTATTTTTTAATTTAATTACATTTTTATTTATAGCATTCCATTTTGTTTTAGCTTTATTAGCAATTTTTCATTATTTTAAGCACAACATTTGTTCAGTTTTTCTGAGAGCTTCAGTTTATCAGTCTCCTCTTGGACTCTCTCCTGCTGACAGATCATTTTTGGGTGTTTTAAACTTGATTATTTAACATCGCTCTCTTCACACTTACGTCACATAGAATTCAATTTTTCATTCTTTTATGCACAACATTTGTTCAGTTTTTCTGAGCCCTTCAGTTTATCAGTCTCCTCTTGACTCCGTCCTGCTGACAGATCATTTTTGGGTGTTTTAAACTTGATTATTTAACATCGCTATCTTCACACTTACGTCACATAGAATTCAATTTTTCATTCTTTTATGCACAACATTTGTTCAGTTTTTCTGAGCCCTTCAGTTTATCAGTCTCCTCTTGACTCCGTCCTGCTGACAGATCATTTTTGGTGTTTTAAACTTGATTATTTAACATCGCTATCTTCACACTTACGTCACATAGAATTCAATTTTTCATTCTTTTATGCACAACATTTGTTCAGTTTTTCTGAGCCCTTCAGTTTATCAGTCTCCTCTTGACTCCGTCCTGCTGACAGATCATTTTTGGGTGTTTTAAACTTGATTATTTAACATCGCTCTCTTCACACTTACGTCACATAGAATTCAAGAGCAAAATCCCAAATTTTTTCACAGCAGCATATTTTTAGAATGAAAGTACCACGCGTTTTTATATTAGCTGTATTACTATCTCTTTAGATTATATAAATCGATTTATAAAGTCTTTACAAACTTATCATTTCACTTAAAAATGGTTGATGCAGTTGATGTCAGAATTCTTTTACCTGAAAAGTGATACGGATACAGAATGAGGATGGATCAATTTTATTGGAAAAATTGCACAAGTTAAATTTTGTGTGCAAATCATAAGACCAGTGTTTTTTTATTTAAATTCAGTAATGTTTCGTAATAATTAGTTTTTAATAATGTTCCAAGGTACATAATGTAATACATGTGTATGAAACCAAACTTTAGATTTCGGATAGAAAATGAATATAAATTGGAATTTTTCCATTTGCGTTATTATTACTATTGTTTATCTATATTTTGATAGATATTTAGTAAATGAGATTTCAAATTTAGTTGAAATATTTTTTCTTGAGAAAAATTCTTCACGGCGCTGTTCCAAGTTGATATGAAACACTTCCGTTTAGCTCTCGTTATTTACCGTGTCTCTCTTGTTCAGATAATTACGGAAGATAACGCGCTAGAAAGAGTGGCGCTATGCATAGGACGCTCCTCTATTTAAATGGATTGTTTGCATCCCAGAAACTGCAGATCTATTTCTTTCCATATCCATCATATATTATAGTGCTGAACGTCTCCCAGCTGGTATACGTTATTCAGCCACTTGACGTCTAGAAGTGAGAGAAACGAAGACACAAAGGGAGTAAGGGATAGTTTCCTTAGCACAAACTATGAGTCAGTGACGTCACGGAAGAGCAAATCTTGCAGTATAATAAACCTCGCTGGTGAACCTTGGCAATGAAACAGTGATATCTCGTTGAGCGAGGTGCGCTGGATTACGATTCATCTAACATCCACAACATGTTCTTAAGTGACGTTAAACTTGCAAAACTCTTGGAATCGGTTGCAAAACTGAAGTTTTTGTTGGGCGGATTGGAACATGTTAAGAACGGTACTGAAGATCTTTTTGCAGGATTTAGCATTGGCAAGCTCAAGTGCGATATCTCGCTGCCGAACTGATCATTGGGGATTACGCAAGTTCGTGTTCCGGTACACGATCAACGTTGACCTGATTCGCTCTTTCTGTTTTACGTACTGAACGAGGACGTAGTGCTGGTTTGCTGTCTTGACGCAATTTTAAGAATCATAGCAACAGATACATTCCTCAAGCGAAGAGATGCTGTAAACCCCTCGCTGCATCTCAAGTGAACTTCAGACGGCAATGACCGTAGTTCCGAGTAATAGTACGTCGACATCTGATAGATGTCCTGAAAGTAAAAGAAAAAAAAAACATGAGATGTTTCTCGATCACCCTGGATTTAATAACAACATAAATATGAGAGAAAATAGAGAATCTTTCAAAAACGTAGTAATTAAGAAAATTTAGTAATCTTTCAGTAAATAAGAAATTATCTCTTTATATATATGTGTCCGTTTGTTTGTCTGTGTGTAATTCGCAGCGTTAGTAATTTTCACAATTCACCGCCAAATGACGTCATGGTCATTCAAAAGGTACATAAAGCGAGATAAAAATGTCACCATGAGCTAGAATAGATGGTAGCCACTCGTGGGAGTGGCTACCATCTGAGTAAGTATTTGTAAGATACATCTGAGTAAGTATCATGAGTAAGTATTTGTTGTTCTGTTGTTGCATGTCGTTTTAATTTCAGTTTATAAAGCCAGCAATAGATATCTAAATTCTTTCCAGTGGTGAATAAATTTTGCAAGCTTGACCTTCAAAAAAGGTGGTGGTCATTGTTTACATAACACTGAACACTCTGGCGTAAAATACTGCTATCAAAAGTGTTGCTATTTTAATCTCTAATTTTATTTGGCGGCCAAGCGGTAAAGTCGCTGAACACTGGTAGTTCGTTCAGAGGTTCGAATCCCGCGAACGGACTGGCTGCATGGGTGTTTTCGGGGTATTCCCCATGTGTAACGTGTATACGAGCCAGTTTACCTTAGAAACTCCTCCACGAAGACATCCCTTCCTTTTTCAGATAGCCATTGTGTGCTTTGCCATAACTAAATAATAATAAATATAAAAGAAGTAGGTTCGAATGTTTCCTTTGATATTTTCCCCATGTGTAACATGTATACGAGCCAGCTTCCCTTAGAAAGTTCCTCCCTTAGGCAGATAGCCCTAGTTTGCTTTGCCATAATTAAATACACCACTACACCAATTTTATGTGGCGTACGTTGTAGTTGTTCTCAACACTTTTTGCCACAGCATTCCTTCACGTTTGCCAGACCCTCTTCTTTCCAAAAATCGAAAACCCATTTATTTAAATTTAGATTAATTTTTAATGAGTTCTATACATTAACTCTTTGAACGTCTTACTCACTCATGTGAGTGGTTTTCAAGACTGACCGTTTCTGAAGTTCCCTCGTAGCTCACTAGATGGCATTCAAGA